AACAGTTGTAATGATGTAAAGATGGTTAATGGTATATATAAATGGATGTAATGGGAGGGTTTATGTTCGATACTAGTTTTGTGGGAAATTTGGGGAATGTCATTCAATTTGTGATTTTCTTTCTATTGCTGTTTCGAGCTCGCCAAGGACTGTAGTGACTTGTTTAAGCAAAGGAAGAGACAAAGAGGGGAATGCGGAGTGTTGAGTCAATGCAAACCAATTCGGTAGCCGATGTCTATACGTTTACTGTGAAATGGATTCAGGTGGGCTGACAGTACAGCAATCTGAGTTTCTAAGGGAGATATGGGGTATGGGAGGTGGAGTGAAATAGTATTGACATGTGGGCAGGAAAAAACGTAAACGTCTGAGTGGTTTCAACAGAAACTTGACTTGAAATATGTTTCTGAATCATGCTGCCTAGATGGGGGTTCAACTGTCATCCACAACGCAGGGTCGATGGTTTCGGTGGATTTTGACCCAGACTAATGGGAGGCAAGTATTGATGATAAAGGCTTTGGAAATTCTGGAGAGTGAGTATTATATAATTTGGCAAAAAGCCGAATATTTAAGTCAATTTTTCCATTTTTGGGTGTTGCTATTCTTTATAGGTAAATATTACATTCACTTTTTTTTTATGGGGTTTGTGGTTGGTGGGGTTGTGTGTTGTTGCTCGTTTTGGTCGTTATTATTTATGTTAGTAAGTCTTTATATAAGGGAATTAAGCGAAGACATAATTTAAATTGTTTTGTTGCAGTCTGTACGTGTTCATCAGAAAAAAGGAGCTAAGGGAAGTGATAATAATCACTGTATAATAGTGGCATAAGTACTTCTGTAGGCCTGGTCATGTGGGTAGAAGTATTGGCAAAGGTTAATATCAAGTCTATTTCAGTATCAGTTCATTATCAGTAAGTGGGGGGTTGGCTTCCTGTAAAGTTTGTCTGAGGTAGCACCACATTTGGTGCGAGCGGTTTCTTCTGGTGAGAGCAGATTATTTCTACTGACTCAGACAGCAGCTAAGCTGTGTTCAGTTCCTGGAATACTACCGGACCAAAGTATATGGATGGGGCTTCCTGCATGGCGATGGTGTAGGTTTTGTTTGAGTTGCGATGTAATGGTCTGTCTTTTCTATCCTAACTAACTCTAACCCTTATAGTAAATTTTGTATTATACCTTTAGAAAGTTTACATTGAAAGCAATATTCGCGAGACTAGAGTGGGCAAAAGTGCGGGTAGGAACTGAGTGTTGCCATGGGTGCTTGCTCTGAATTAATTATGAGGTCTGACTCTAATATATTAGTACTTTGGAATAAAGAGGAGGAGAGATTGTGTCAAGTGGAAATTTTACAATAAAAGGTTTTCAGTTTTGAATTGGTTCCTCTTAGTTTGAATGAATTTAAAATTGGTAAAAAAAATTTCTGGGTTTGTTTTTTAATTGTGTGTATGGATACTTGTGTTGTAAGTGGAGATTTGTCCCGCCCCCCTCGTTGCCTTTTTTTTTTGTGAAATATAGAAAGGGAGAGAGAAGTATGTGGGGGGGGGGGGAGCCCCTTTTGTTTGTCGTTTTTTTTTGGTTGTCGCCGCGAGGTACAATGAGTTGGTAGAAAGGAGAGAGAAAATGATAAGATGGGGTTTGGCGCCTCGCCGCGCGCCTCCCCCTTTGAGAGATGGTACCCTATAAAGGATTGTATAAAGACTGTGGATTTAAGAAAATGTTTCTCTGTGGTAGAGAGAGAGTGCCTAGTGATAGAACCCTGTGTGGTTTTGTGGGTTTTCTCTCCCCCCGTTTGTTGGGTGTGGGGTGTTTTTTTTTTTTTTTGGGTGGGGGGGCCCGTTTGTGGGTTTGGAAATATTATATGAAAAATAGAATAGATGTTGTTGGCCGCCCGCCGGGAGAGCAGGGGCTTGTTGATGTTGAGCCCGACCAGCAAGGAGGGGGTGAGGGGGGGTTTTTTTTTTTTTAAAACACAATTTTTTTTCCCCCCCCTGCGGGTATTTTTTGGACCCCCTTTTTGGGGGGAAGGGGGGAAACTTTTGGGAAAAAGGAGGGGGGATTAAAAAGCAAAAAAAACTGGGGGGGCCTGGAGTAACCCCGCGTTTTTTTTTCCCTCCCCCCAACTTAAGATGGTCCTCCCCCCCTCCCCCAAGGGGGCCTACAAACCCAAATAACTTTCATTTCCCCCAAGTTCCTCCCCAACAAATTTTCTTTTCACCCCCTGGTGGGGACCCCCCTGGGGGCCCACCCCTTTTTTGGAGATGGGCCCCCAAATGGCCAAACGGGGGATAAACCACACACCAGCACACACACACAAACCCTCTCCCCAAGGATTGACAATGGACCTCCTGCACTGGGCTGGGCCGGCATTTCTCCATACCTTTAATCCCCAACTTCAACGAGCCAAGATTATTATCGGCCTTATTAGCGCTCTGAATAGGGAACTATTGGCCTATTGCAAACAGCCGTGCTGTGCTCAGTGTAGCATGCTGTTACTGACTAACACCCCCCTTCACTTCCTCACCCTCACCCTATCTTCTCCTTTTTCTTCTCCCAATCCTTATCTCGCTTTCTTCCTTCTTGCTTGCTTGTCCCTCTTCCAAATCCCTTCTCGATTGCCCTGCCACCTCTGAATTCTCTCCTCCCATTTCTCTCAAACCTTCTGCTCCCTTTTTCATCTCCTTTTATCAATTCTTTACTGTCTCACTTGTCTTTTCCACTTCTCTTATCCCTGCCCCTTCTCTTTCCTCATTATCATCTCCCTTTCTCCGCTGTTCTTTATTTTCTTCTTATCTCTGGCGTCTTCTTTTCTACCTTTTCTCCTCTTTTTCCCCAACAACCCCCTCTGCTGCTCTCCCATTTCCTTCCTCCCCTCTCTTCTCTCTTTCCCTCCTTCTCCCTTTCTCTTATTTGTCTCCTCCCTGCATGTTTTCCGTTTGGCAGTGCTCAGCCTGTTGTTCCATTGTGTCTACTGGGGCCTGTATGCTAGAGATGGAGTCGGCAACGGCAGCCTGAAATTACTCGGTGAGTTTTTCTCCTGCATCGGCCACTGACTGACTGACTGACTGAGCTGACCTGATGACGACTGACTGACTGAACTGACTGACTGACTGACTGACTTGCATGAACTGACTGACTGACTGACTGACTGACTGACACTGCCTATGTGCCTGAGCAGAATGAATGAGTGGACGAGGATGGATGTGTGTATGTGGGTGAAGAAGTGCAAGAGCTGGTTTGAGGGGCACAGGCAGGATCATCCATGATTTTGCCAGTATGTGTGTGCACACATATGTGTGGCGACCTGATTATATCTTTCCCCTCTGATATTACAGATTCGGAAGCCACAGCCTAATTACCCCCTCTGTCTTCTGTTTCTCACTTTCTGTCTCTCTCCTCCTCTCTGTCTGTCTCCAGGGAAATTACTGTTCTCCGTCAGTTTCTTGGTGTTCCTTCTGATGCTCATATTGTTGGGCAAAGGTTTCACTGTCACCAGGTGGGGGTTTTCACTTTCTTTTGTGCAGCCTGTGTGTGTGTGTGCATGTATTTCTTTATGCCTATGTGTGTTTATGCGAGCCTGGGATGTCACCTTGTGTGGGTGTGTTTATGCTGCTACTGTCTCTCACCTGTCAGGCCTCGCTGTCACAGTCATAACACTATATCTCATGAAATGACAATGTTAGGTGTCAGTCAAAAACTCAGTTAGTGTGCTCGGTCTGATGGTGTGGATGAACACCTGATACGTTTGGGACTGTTGCTGCTATGTTGTAAACTTTATGATGTTTTCGTTTTGGCTGAAGTATTATATTTGCCCTGCCCAAATTTTTGGTTTACTCATTGTTTTCTGGCAAGGTTTACTGAACATTTGCCTGCAACAGGCATCATTTCAGATAGCCCGCACAATAGATGATTTATGAGTTCTCCCCTTTGCTGGAACATCAGCATGTATCCATCTCACACCTGACTGGACAAATGCCCTACTCGCCGACTGTCAGTGGCCTTTTCAGTTGTCCAATTCCAATGTGAAAGTCCAGTTATCAAACATGCCAGCTGTTCTTGAAATGTGGTTACATTTCTGCCAAGCTATCCCCAGAAGTGGGTGAGAAAAGGGCATAATGATGCTTTTTAAAAATCAGGAAAAAAAAACAGGAAAAAATAGCCTGTTCACAAGGTTTTGATTTGTGGTGACTCATCTAAACCACTGCTCATAGTTGAAAAATTGATCCTGCTTCGGGCCCAATTGAATCTCTGTGGATATTTTCCAGACTCTTGTAGCATAAACTGAGTTTGCTTTTTGGAGTCTAGGATTACATCCTCCTCTGGGTTCAGAAGATTCTGTGATCTCTCTCAGTGATTAAACCGCTTAAAACCCCAGTGAATAAACTTAAAACTGCATCACCATCCAGCTAAAAACCCATCTGTTTATCTCTAGTAGCTGATAAGTTGACAGTTTGGTGATAACTACCACACAACTTTGATATGTTTTCTCTGGTGTGTGGTGTCGAATTACTGTGAGCAAAAGGATGTTTGAAATGATGATGAAGTTTCAACGCTGAAATACTTTTATTTGTTGACTGCCGCTGTGCAAATAAAGAAGGATTAATATCTGTTTGGTGAGTGTGGACAGGCTTTTTCACAGCCAGCGGTGTCCATGAGTTTGCAGCCATTTTATTTATAGAAAAGTCACGAGTTGAGCACACCAGTGCTTTGTGCTGTTTGGTGTTGAATAGCTGCTATTAGATTAAGTTATCTTTTACTTTGAGTGTAAAGAACCAAATGCACGATTTTGTATGCATGTGTGTGTGTGTTTTTTTTCTTATCTTCGGGTAACTTCTGTGTGACCTCTGACCCCCTTTTTTGTGTGTGTTTGTGTCAGGGCAAGGATCAGTCACAGCGGGTCGGTTAAACTGAGCATCTACATGACAGTCTACACAATGACCTATGTCATCCTCTTCATTTACGAGGCAGAGGTACAGCACTACACCCACACACAATACATTACCCACACTGCACTATAGACACCACCGGGGCTACAACTAATGATTGTTTTTAATAATTAATTAATATATGGATTTTTTTTAAGAGTTGATGCCTTCAATCCCAAATACACTTTGTTGTCGTTTTGTTTTCTTTTATTATCAAAATGGTTTGAAATTCATTTTAAACGTATCAGTTGACTACCTGTTTCAGGACTACTCAACACTCACCTCCTCTACTTTCCTCACCAACAGCTATATTGGCAATAATTGTGTGCCACAGTCATGTTTAGTTGGGTTTTATGTAAATATGAGCTGGCAACCAGGAAAAATTCCTGTCAGTCATGAGTACAAGTAAGAAGAGCTAGAAGTTTGTCAATAGAAGAGGGAGTTATTTTTTACTGGAGCGGAAAATGAATCAACTGTTTTGATTATAAATTTAATTCCACTGGTTTCAGCTTCTCAAACATAGAGACATGTTGTTTTCCTATCTATTATATCATGTCTATTGTGTCTAAATTTGGACTATTGAGTAGACAGAACAAAAATAAGACTTTTTTAAAAGATTTTCTGACACTTCATAGACGTAAAGATTAATCAGTTAACTGTGGAAATATTTGACAGGCTAATCATCAGTGGAATAATCTTTAGTGGCAGCTATAATTTGCACACTAATAACATCAAAAAAATTCTGATCTCAGTGAATGTGAATTCCTCCTCTTCAGATGTGACAGTGTCAGGATGACTGGATGCGAGATGTCTGACTTGTTAATGCTTGACGCCACATTTGCACTCGTATTATTGCTCTCTTTGGCTTTTTTTTAATAATCTCATAATGATGCCCGGAGGAGTTGGGCCCACAGATCCACGTGGGCTGTAATGACTTTTTTCTGTCAAATCATTCGTTACACTGATACATAGCTAATTATGAATATGCATGCAAGTTGATTGTTGAGGGATAAATAAGGGATGAGTTACAAATGATGGATCCTGACAGGCAGCTCCAACTACAAACACAACTAAAGTGGATTGAACTTCTTACTTGTTCACTGTACTTGAGATAATAAATCTTAGATCAATGAGTTTCTTTAAGATTTCCTGGGATTGGAAAGTTAGACTTACTAATCAACACACTGAAGTCTCCACTCTCATTAACTATACTGTGTCTCTGTGTTCTGTATGTGAAGACGGAAACAGATTTCACCAGCTATGATGCTGAGCACATGAGCTTATGAATTAGTAACGCACCCAGGAGTGTTACAGTTACATACATCTCTGCATACTGCAGAGGTTTCAGCACAGTCAGATGGAATGATGGTACATTTAGGGACAGTGGCTTACAGTCTTTTGAATACAGCGTGGTAATGACCCAGTGGGAATAGTGCAGTGGAAGTATGCGTGCTATATTTAACGCTGGTGCCTATAGCCCATCTCTCTCACTGCAATATGTGGATCTGAAGCAGTGTAATTTATCTACCGCCTGCCCTCTTACATTGTCCCTGCTATTAAAGAGCTCAAAACTCAGGGGAGCTTCTGCTAAAAATATGCTAAACTAGGTTACAATTGGAACTGAAATAAAGACTTGAAGAGTGTTCCTGGTACTGGGCCTGCAGTTGGGGGATCTGACAGGCTCTGGTTGGCTGCTTGGATCCCAAGAAGCTCCACACCGAGCTGTCCGACCTATGCATTATGTAGCAAGGGTAACCCTGTATGGTGGCCAATGCTATCCAGTCACTGGACTGTGAAATACAATCTAGTGTCCGCAGACACAAGCACATGCACCACACACACACACACACACACACAACCTGTGCGCACATATGCCGATGACCTAGTTGTGGGGAAAAAGTGTCAATGTCAAAGACTCACACAGAGTGCTACAAGCTGAGTTTTGGCTCACAGTGCATCAGCTGAAAAACGAGCAATCCATCTTAGTAATTAGGGCACAGAGTACAATGTGTAGTCAAGCCAATAGATGCTTCTCTTCTACTTTGTGTAAAAAAAGTTTAGCTTGTTCAATGTGTGTGTCTTCATTTTGGCGTAACGGCTCGTGTTCCTGCGCCAGTTCTTTGACCCAGGTGAAGTGCTGTATGCCTACGACAGCCCTGCAGGCTACGGACTGATGGGCCTGCAGCTGCTGGCCTACGTGTGGTTCTGCTACGCCGTGCTGGTCTCCCTGAAACACTACCCTGAGAAGCAGTCCTTCTACGTCCCTTTCTTTACCACATACACACTATGGTGAGACATGCACAGCTTCCCCTTCTCTGCCCCTCACTGTGGATAATAGCACCTGAGCGAGAGATTGCAGGAGTAGGAAAATACACAATTCTTTGTTTGAGGTCTCTTCAATTTGAATGATTTATGCTGCTCTGTTAAAAAATGTGCACAAGATAGCTTTCGCGGTCCGGGAATGAAAAGTTGTTTATCTTACACTACCCTTTTACAACATTGTGAGCCCAACCTCTGCGCTCTACTAACACTGTAGATAATTGTACTTGAGCGAATGATTGCTATAGGAAAATATCTATTTTTACTTGCTGATGAGGTCTCTCCCATTAGAATAATTTATTCTGCCATATGTGTGCTCGATAATTTAAAGCTTTGTACTGGAAAGTAACGTTTTTTTCATCCCGAGAAAAACCCTTCTATATACACTGCTCAGCTTTTCTGCCCTTCATTCACTGTGTATAATAGCATGGGCTTGAAATGAAGAGTCGATTACAAAGACTAATATTATCTCTGTATTTCTCTCATTGCTGCCGCTATCTCCCGCCTCATTATCTACGCCTCTCCTTTCCTCCCCTCCCATCTTTCTTTCTCTGTGCTTTACATCTATCTCTACTCTCTCTTCCTCTCACCATCAAACTCCATTCTCATCTTGTCTTTTAATGTGTTTTCCCCCACACCATTATCCTAAATCTACTCACTTGTCTTCCTCAGGTTTTTTGCAGTGCCTGTTATGGCTCTGATCGCCAACTTTGGGATTCCTCGTTGGGCCCGGGAAAAGATTGTCAACGGCATTCAGCTCGGCATCCACCTCTACGCTCACATCGTCTTCCTCGTTCGTACCACACGCACATACACGCACGCTCATGCAGACCCTTGCACTTCTACATAGTTCACATTATTCAAGAGTCCTTATTGCCACTGTCAGTCGTACATTATTCACTATCCTTGAGTCATAACTGCCTCATGCTGATTGTCTCCTCCACACATCATTATCTATCTCCTTCTCACCTTCGACACATTGTTCTTTACTAATGGGCCGTACTGCTCACGCAAATGTCCTTTTATATTCCTGCTCACTGCATGCATTGCTATTCCCACTTCTTCCTTGGACCTTATAAATGCTCTGGCTTTGTGTTAGCTGCTACATATACTATTCATATATCGATTATATATGTAAGAATCGGCAGAAATCATTATATCATTACATCGTTTTGCCCCTAGGTTATCACACGACCTTCAGCAGCCAATAAGAACTTCCCGTATCATGTTCGGACATCCCAGATTGGGATCCTGCTGTCCAGTCCAAAAGGAGGTGAGGGGGCAGAGAGTTTTCCCCATCATGCCTATGGAAATAGCTCCTTCCTGGGAGACTCTCAACCCAACTTCACTGAACTCTTCTCCATCCAATCAGTGAGTCTAGCTTTACATGTTTTTGAATGCATGCTTTATATCCTGAGTTGGAATTGTTTTAGCTGAAGACACAGAAGAGCAAGTGCTGTTTTTATGCAAAAGACTGAAGAGATAAGATCATGTGAAAACTAAGTCTCAATTACTATTCATTGATATCTATTAAAGATGCCCCATTCATGAACAAGTGAAGTGAATAAAGATGCAGAAACAGGTTAAAGGCAAATACAAGAATCACATTTTAGCTCGTGTACAGTATGTGCGTCTGTATCCTGTTTAAATGCCCCCCGACTCATTTTGCAGTGCTTGCTATATGTAATTAGATTTACATCTAATCTTTTTGATGCTTTCAAAATGCAAACAGTGGCAAACCTAGCTTGAAATTAACTGCTGTCTCATCTAACAAAGATGCATCAAATTAGAAGGCATCAGTGTAACAATAGTTTGCAAGGGGACATGATTTTAAGGATTATTTCTTGGCGGAAACGGCCGTCTCTTCCTGTGGGCTCCAGGTGAATGACAGTAAGCACAGCGTAACATAGCACACGCTCTGATATGAAAACACTTGGGCACAAGAAAATAATGATTAAATAGAAACTCTGACAAGACCAAATTAAGGTGTCGTGTTTGCTGTGATGAATTGTCTAGCAAGGGAAACTTTCAAATCTGTGGAAGTTTGCTCTTTACTTTTTTATACTGCACAGAAATGAGTGACGGAAGAAGAGCTCTGGATCTTTATATACACTGATACAATGTGCAGACACTAGCAGGAAATATAAAACACAAAGGTGCAACCAGCATGACAACTGACACAAAGTCATGGCAAATACAGTAAGGTAGAAATTACCTTTAGTTAGAAATCTAACAGACATGCAGACATCTACAGAAAATGGGAAGACCATGCAAAAAGTACAACGAACACCACTATTTTCAGCTTGGCCTTCAGTCTTTATTACCATGGTATCAAGGTGGGCAATAAGAGCCTCTTCTCTTTGTTGCCAAATAGAATGCACTCAGTCTCGTCTTTATTTAAGTAAAGGAAATATAGTTGCATGTGTGTTACTTGCACTGACACAGTGAGTCTATTGGACCAGGGTCATTTGGTGAATGAGCAAAGTAAATCTGAGTGTGGCATGCAGTCTTATTGTTTAGCAGTGTTTGGCCCCGAAGGGTGAATTTTTAGGTTATTTCAGCAGTCTCTGTGCTATAATGTGGTCGAAGCCAGATTGAAGATTGTCTAGAAAACCTTTTACAGATAAAACTAATTTGCCATTAGTCTTCCTAAGATGGGCTATAAAAAAAAAAGACTAGATACAGTATAAACATGGCAATAAAGGCAAGTAAGAACTGGAGTGGGTTCCGAACAATCAAATTAATTAGGAAGGTGTTTTTAATGTCTTTTTTTTTTTATATATAAACAACATGGAGGAACGACTGGGTAATAATTATCAATGATTAATCAAATTTCAGCAGAATCACAATTAAATTATCTCATAATGTCATATTTCTAGCTGTTTCTGTTAACCACATTTGTTTTAACCTTTTATTAGTTTGGGGGGAGTTCACTGAGAGCAACACTCTCTTTTAAGGAATGTCCTGATGTGCCCTGTTCACACTGGGAAACGGCCTAGGACGCTGAGGCCACTGAGCAGCTCCACTGGAGCAGCTGGGGTTAAGACCCGGGGCCCCTCAGTGGTGGTAATGAGGAAAGGGCAAGCACTTTCACTTTCCACAACCAGATGAATTAATTAATGATTAATCTAACCAGTTACTGAAATGTTATTGCTTTTTACACATATGCAACGTTTCAGATACTGTAATGCATAAGAGTGGAACCCAGTTCATTAGGCTATACATATATTTATATATATGTTCTAAATATATTATATGTTGTATGTNNNNTATGTATATCTGGAGTTTGTAACAAAAGTAATTTCCCCCTGGGATTATTAAAGTATTTCTGATTCTGATTGCTTTGATCAGTTTGATTATTTTGTGATTTCTGTAGTGTTGCAATGTTAATTATAATTCAATCAACAGCAAAGACAAAATACCCTAAAAGTATTTTAGGGCACCAAATTAATGAGAATTTGCTGATTCTTACCATACAGTACATTATACTAAATACTAAATTTAATCTCTTTGGCTTTTTTCATTTAATGAAATTACCTTGAGTTATAGGACATTTCCATGCACATTTTTCACTGTTTTCTGATATTTTGTAGACCAAACAGATAATCAAGAAAGTAATTGACAGATTAATCAATAATAAAAATAATAATTACTTATAATCATTTGAACTTTATCGCTAATATAAAGTAGGGTCAGGTTCCATAAACTGTAGTTGAGGAGAGTAAAGTAACTGAACAGGAGGTCAGGAAAGCCAATACATGTGTAATTTACCTCAACCTATATAACCACCCCTGCATCGGTAAACTGTAGAGGAAGCTGTCAAAGTGTGATATACTGAAAAGGTCTCACTTTCTGGCCAGGGCAACACATGTATGTAACCTACATCCAGATGATCCAACCAGGTCAAAAGTGTAAAACAATCATCCTTCCTTCCTTGCAGGATGCGGTGAAGACAGTGGAAGAGACAGTGGCCCGTAAAGGACCCGAGGTACCGAGGAACAGCGAACAGAAGATCATCACCACTGCTGCTGACTTGATGTCAATATTGCCCCCACCTCCACCTCCGATACCCCCACGCCCAGCCGCACGCTCGCCCCCGCTGCCGCCCCGGCTCCCTTCCTTCACCGAGTATTTCAGCATGCAGAGTGGTGGAGGAGGAGGGTTCGGCACGAAGGCATGAGATGGAAAGAAAGACGGGACAGAGGGCAGGACAGAGGGAGAGACTGGAAGGCACGGAGGGAACGGACAGAATGACAATTCAAAGTAAAGGAAGAGTCAGAGTGGAAATCAAAGTGTTACTGTTTAAAGACAAAAGGGGGAAAGGGTTTGGATGGACGAAGAAGATAAACCATTAGAAAAGTGAATCCCTAAACGGTCCCAGTTCACCTGTGAATGGAAATAACCCGAATGGAGGAGTGAGGGGAAATGGCTGTGAGATAGGAGTGCTGAGCTTGTTAAAGAATAAAGAAGCAATAAATATTTGATGTTGACCCGTAAAAGGCACAGAGGGAGAAAGATGACAAAGTGGATGTAGCCAGAGCAATAGAATGATAGCTGTGCACGATGCGGAAATGAACAAAATTCTTGAAATACTTTTATTCAAAAATTCATGAGGCATTGATGGTCTGCCTGGAAGAGTTTGTAAATAGCTAAAATTGAAGGGAGCTAAAACTCTATATAGTTTTATTTTAAAAAAAGGAAATTTGTTTTCATGTTTTTTTTTCCCCCCAACACATCATTACATTCCAGTTGGTGCTGTGACCATAAAAAGAATCTCATACCATTACATTTATCTAATTAATGTAAAACAAATAAAAAAAATACTTTTTATGTTTGACACATTTTGATAAAGCATAGATATTTACTCTATATGGAGTTTGTTGATTTTATTTATATTCTTATATGCCTTCATTGCAGCTGGTTATTCTGGATTGATATGCTGATGTGTAAATGTAAAATGTCACGTTTACTGTGGGCACTTCTAGGTACTCGTAAAACGCGCATGTTTGTATTGTATTTCCCGTTCAAAAAGCTGATATATGTACTCCACGTGACCATACAATATTCGCTTATTGTGTGTATTGAAATCTATACTTTTGTAAATACATACAATAGGCTTTAGTATATTTTTGACTGGATAAATTCTGTTAATTGTTATTCCAATCAAAAACCCTCTTACGCTGTCTGAAACAATATAAAACCAATGTTATACTTAGTCGGTTTCTGTTGACTTTTCACTGGAGTGCAGAATATGCCTGCTGAAAAAAAATTCATTTTCTGTGTATGTAGACGTTGGTGAATGTACTGATGCAATACAGCACAAGGACAGGGGTGATTTTCAAGTTACTGGAATGCTGCAGTACACATTTTGTTGAGTTTTATTTTCAACGACAACATATCCATGATCTGAGAGCAGGACGCTGCCTTTTTCAAAATACAAGTAACTTTATCCTCACCCCTGTCTAAAACCTGAAACATGAATATTTGTTGACTTTATCTCACTTTAATGTTTAAACCGTGTGAAAAGCTGAGCAAATGTTACTAGTTTCGTAACCCCTAACATTGAGCTATGACAAAAAAAAAAAGCCTTGTAGATGAACTGTGAAAACGGCAACACAACTGTACATTTTGTCTGTCCTGCATGGAGCACTTTAATGTTCCTGGTCTTAGTCTGTTTATTCGTGATGTTGTCACCTTATAAGACTGCTTTGAAACCTGTATTCACACCACATCGAGTAGTGCACAGATGCATACACCTGTAAATACAGTCTGAAAATGTCATCCGACTGTCCGGGATATTTTAGGGAACGTATCATGCTTAGTCGACGTAAGTTAACATTGAATTACTGAAGTTGATAAGTCATGTAAGAGTGTCATTGAAACTGAGTTTACCACCAGCTTCCTGCCATTCAGAAACTGAAGGGACACTAACAAATTCAGTTTTGTCTTGACCATTCATTTATTTCCTATTCATAAAAATGGTGGTACTCAGCTAATAGTCCACAGATTTATCAATGGCAATCTTGCTGTAATGGAGTACTTTAGGATGTTAGGACTGTGGTGTGTCACTTGTAAGAGTGTAGTCAGAGGTGTAACTTAGTCTGTGAAACAGAATGATACTTGAATTAGAGTACTAGTTGTTATTTCTGATTATGTGTCTGGTTTATATTCGGCATGTCTGCCATTTTGTCTGCTGTTGTCTATTGTTATGGTTGTCATGACTTGACTGAATAGACACTGGGCGACTCGACTAACAGACAGGCCTTCTGATACTGTATCACTGCTTCAACCTTGTGTATATTGACATACAATTACAGGACTGAGACACACTTAAGGGGAGGGAACTTGAAGAAAAAGAGATTATGTATGCATGACAGAAAACAGCACAGCTTTTAGGCTACTCAGAGCGATCTGGTTAAGAGCACATCACTGAAGCACTGTTCAAATGCATTTTAATGGAGTCAAATGACAGTTCTAAATACGCTGTACATATACACTTTTTGCCCAAATAATAAAAAAAATATGGTTTTATTAGAGGCCTTGTCTGGGTGTGTGTATTATTTGGCTAGTGTGTCTTTGTTCCAGGTAGGACAAGGGCATGTGTCCAAGGGAGTCTATCTAATATCTGTAAATCATATTTAGAATTTGTTCTCATTACAAGAGTCCATTAAAGTAAAACACCACAGGGACAGACTCCAGGCTGGTCACAATCTGATGTAGGCTAGCCTAATTATTTCACAGTCGCTGCCAGTATCCCGCTCTGCTGTGACTGCTGAAGTGCAGAGTAACAACAAATTGTGCCTGTCTCTACTCATTCTCCACTAACAGTATAAATTTGTAAATGGATTTCAGCCTAATCGCTGCCAGTCTTTTAAAAGGAAGAATCCCAACATCTCTCATTATTTGATCATTTTTCATCCGTCTACATCTGCATTAAGCATAATGGACCCTTTTTTACTGCAGACATGTTTTTAAGGGTTTGTGCAGTGTTCATCAACTTAAATTTAGGATTCTCTAAGACCATTTTAATACCACAAAGAATGCAATTTCATAACATTTTCAATGTCATACCAGTAAAACAATGACAGAAAACCATTATATCCCCTTTTTGAAATCAATTTTGTATATAACAATATAAAATACAAAATAATGAATCAAGTGACATGACAGAGATTTAAATAAGTGGAAATTGATAGATGGGTAGATTAATCAATTACATACAACTTTTTTTAATTTTCACTAAAATGGTCCCTTGTCTATTGAGTCTAGGGTTAGGGTCTATCTACTGGTCTGAAGGCACTGACTAAACTGAAACAGCCTTCTCTGACTGTGGTTCCCAACCGGGGGGAGGGGGGTGCAAGGCTCTTGATTTTTAACAATTAGAAGGAAACACTTAAGTCTATAAAAAGTTGCTAAAATTATCAGGAAAACTCATCTCCAATCAGCAATTTACAGGAAATAATCTGCTCAAAATTCCTCCAAATCACTCGTTTTACACAGACTTCCTGCAGTTATTGTGTTCACTGTTTGTTATTGTTGTTCTTTGAATATAATATGAAATATGCATAAAATATGTCACTTAGTCAGGGGTTGTCTGTTTACTCAGTGATAGACAAGGGGTCCCTTAAAGCAGTAGTTCCCAACCTTTCTCCTTGAGGGACACCTATTCTATTTCGTATTATATTCAAAACTGTACAATGAACCCAAATAATGAATATTTTGTGTAAAACGAGTAATTTAGATGAATTTTAAGCAGATTATTTCCTGTTTAGGGAATTTTTTATACAATTCTCTCTATTATGTATTGTAGTACAATTTACTTCACTTTACATTTACTTTTCTATACAAAAGTGAACCAAATACTGAGGTATAGGACTAATATGTATATTCTTTTCTTACACGCCTTAAAATCAAGAAGGCCTGAAGCTTTGCCGACCCATGGCTTAAAGAAAAAGGTTGAGAACCGCTGTTCTACGAGCACAAACCACTGTTGCAAATTAAATCCAAGACTTGTCAATGACCTATAGCCTTTTTTGTGAGGGAACTGTATTCAGTGCTTTTTAAGACCTGCAGATACCCTCTCACAGCTTGATCAGCACAGGTGTAATTAATAACACGGAGTGGAAGCACCGTTAATGTTAGTAGTTACACCTGGGCTTCACCTGCTACTACAGGTCAAAATGTCCGCTCTGAAAAACCGACTGAACCACAAACTATGGCTTTGAAATGACACTTTACAAAACTGGTACTTATTTTGGGGCTTTTGTACTGGTTTACAAGTAGATAATATTTTTGTGTAAGTATGGTTTCATTGTCACATGTCCATGATGTTAAATAATGATAAAGCTCAGTTGTCAAAGAGTACTACTACTACCCAGTGTAAACAGTAGTGTGGCGTTTCTGTGACTGCAGGGAGGCCTCCAAAGTTTGGAAAAAAACACAACCTGATGATGTCATACTGATGTCATCAGTTATCTCCGCTTGTGCTTAAAGACAACGAACAGAAAGCATGCACTACAAACTGCAGGTGTGGAGCTTGAAAGGCATAAAAACGTGGGGTGGGTCTAGTGAAAGATGCTATGTCCAAACTGGGTCCAAATGTAGGACCCAGTTATTTTTGTTTTTTTTTGGAGCATGGCGCATACTGGGGACTCAACTCAAACTGTGCACACTTGCAGCACGTCTGGACTGCCTTGCTTTTTTATTTTGGCACCAATGTTAACAGGTTAGAGCAGTCACATTGCCCGTGTGATCATCTTTTCTGCGAGCGGCTCCCAGCAAAAATAGATAGTGAAAATGATCTGTTCATCTTTAGAATGTCAAACATTAAAAAGAAATGTCTTCTTTTTTTTAACACCTCCTGTATATGTTATAGATTAAAACCTCTCTAGCGATTCTGTGCACAGAATCCATTAATTTGTTAACACAGCTTTTATTGTATTGGATTTTATCAAAGGCGAACTCAGTATAGAAAGACGGGGCTGGCAGCAGCAGCAGAAACGCTCTCTGTGTGTAGACACCACAGGCCTGCGAGCTGCAGCGGTTCAGCGAGGCAGCCGCCACACACTACTCACACAGCATGTAAGCAGCGTGTGTCCAGGACGTAAAAGTCAAGTTTTCTTGGCCTCTGCTGCTTTCATTATTGATCTTTAATTGCTCTCACATGTCCTCCAACTCTACGGAAGTGTAATAATACATTTTTGAAGTACCCCTTTAATGCGTGCTGCTGTTGTATTTCCCTGCATTAAAAAGGGCAAACCTGCTGACTAAGTGAACAAAGAAACAAAGCAAAAAAGTCTGTTAGTTCTGTTAAGAAATAATATTTAATAATACACAATCATCATAAATGTCCTTTTATGGAATTTTTTTTATCACTTCGGTTGACTCGGAAGCTGAAACTGTTGTTCTGGTGAAGATATGCATCAGTCTCTATAAGCCACAATCTGCAGCACCTGCAAGTGACTCCCCAGAAGCTTCTCAGCACCCAACCATCACCCTTCAGTGACCACTACCACTGATCCAACACCGAATGACTGTAATTAAGCTTTTGCAGCTAACTGTTGTTCCCTTTCCTCTCTGTAGCCTTTGAGCAGCTGGTTGATGAGAGTGAGTTCATTATCTTTTTTCACAGAACAGAGAGGCGGGAAGGGGTTGCCTTTGTACTCCAGGACGGCCATCTTAGCTCTGTCCAGGTTCTGTCTGTTGGGGATGCGTTCCATCCGTGTGTAGCTATTCGAATGAGGCTCAAACCGTGGAGCGAGGACCTTGAAGAGCTTTGGGACCAGATCCTTTTCCTGGGGAGAAGAAGGAGACTCAAACTAAACAACGACTTCAGATGGACTGTTTAACATTCAGAGGGACACAGTGTGTAACTTCACACATTTGAGAAGAACTGCGAACATACCGTCAGCCAAAAATCTGCCATTTTCATTGCCTTCTCATCTGTGTCTCCCTTTTTGGCGTAGTCAATCAGCTGGGGGAAAGAAAACAAGAAAACAGATACAGTCAGAACCATTGTGTGTAGAACAAAGAAACAGTCCTCCTATCTACATATAAAAATACTCTCAATGAGTGCAAATACATAAAGTTAGAAAATGTGGGATAAGCATTTTGGGACAAAGCAGAATCAAGCTGGCTCATGTGGTGCAGTCATTGTCACACTACGTCCAGGAACCCTAAAGCCTCCTGGTGAAGGTCTCAGGGGTTCTGCAGGAGTAGTTTACAACTTTCCTCTCATCACAATCACTATCAGTCTGCACGGTGCACATATTTCTAAAAACGGACTACACTGATCACAAGCATGGCTGGGCTTTACAAAAAAAACCTGTGACAATAAGAATAACACATCAACATCTACCAACGCAAGCAGCATCATACGTTAGATAAATGGTAATATTTTGTTTGGATCATTTAATGGAAACAGTGATCTAACTGTGTGAGGATGAAAGGTAATAAACCACTCAAAACAGACACATCATGATATATCATTGTATGTCTATATATGTATATCTAAGTATTCATCTATCAATATTATGTTATTATGTTAAGTTCTATAACTTTGCAACTATTTTGACTTTTAATAATGTATCTGAAGGGTCCTATTGAATCACTTGACCATGACATCAGAAGATAAAAATCATACATACACCTTAATACGAGGAAAATTCAGTCGCATTTTATCAATCCACTACAATTTTGGGAATGAAGTGTGCTCATATTATTTGTATCTGCTTGTTTAATGACTCATTTTGTTATAAATTTGTATTCCTTTATAATATTTCTTTTCAATTACAATATGCACATCACAAAAAGTACATTTCTTTACATTAAATCATGCTAGAGTCGGTAGCTAGAAATGGTTCTAAAATATACACGTAAGATATTTCCCAGCCATGAACAGAAGGTTTCACACACTTCTATTCGTAATTAATGACTTTTCTTTCTCCACTCAGACAAAACCTTCACCAGATGTCTGCTGACTGATATTGATCTCAAACAACACAATGCAATTCCAGGAGGAAAAATGTCACAGGAATCCACGATAATTACCAGGACAATAAATTATCGGCCAATAATAGTACATTTTATGTTAGTATGTATTATTTTTGATAATTGCAGTTTAGCTGATACATTAATGCTTGATAATGATCATTTATTTTGAATTCTTATGCAAAATATTTGATAGGCTTTATTTTCGATGCAAGCCAAAGTATGTTTGTTACATAAATGAACACATGAAGAGTCAGATGTTTGTTATATTGTTGTGCTAACAATAGAGATGTCAGTTTAAAAAAAAGTTACAAGGAATATTAAAATGTTTACCACATTTCTTTCCCCTCAGGTTACAGGTTATGAACTCATTTTTTAAATACAGAAAAGTGAAATGATCAGTTATCTGATTGGTCATGAGAAGCAGATACATTATTGATTACCCCAGTCTGTACCTTACAGTTTGACTGAGGCTGATCACTGTCACACTGGCTTACTGTTAGCTACCTAGCAGCATCACCAGGTGGTCGTTACCTTCTCGGCGTAGAAGCGGACTTCATCGGCTCGGACCCAGGTGGTTTCTATCCTCTCGTGTCGGACCAGTCCTGTCAAAATGTTCCGCAGCATGTTGATCCGGGAATGTGGACCCAGACCCATCTTCCGGGCCACCCGGCCATGGGAGATCAACATTTGCAACGTGAGTCGCATCTTGTCCGGTTAGATTCGCCTGCGAGAGTCGGGACGGAAATCCAAAGCGTTACATAAAGGGAGAAACGTTTCTACCTGAAGAGATTAATCTCATCAAACTGTCCTCTTTGTGGATAATAGAGCAGTTACCTCAGTGTGGGAACCGATCCTGGGGTCAGCTCTTGCTGGGGTTTGACATTGGTGGTGCGTCGTCGAATGTGTCCGACTTGAAACTCGTGAAACTGGGGAGCGACGGTTCCGCTAAACGCACTGCAACCAGACACGATGAAAACAAGGAACCACAGCGAAATATAAAGATATTATTGTTATTCCGATTATTAAAAAAGACGTGATAGAGGACACATGGGTGTTTTTGTTTCTTTGTAACAGAGCTGTTGTAGTTAGTTAGTTTATAATTAACTGTTAATGGGGAAATCATGCTCAGTATCTGTTGTGTTTCCTGATCCCCACATACTTATTTATTGGTTATTTGTACTATTTCTTCATGATTTATTCTGTTGTATCTATTATTTTATTGCTATGACTGCATGGCCTCAATAATATGGTAACTGACTTTGAAAACATACAGCGTAACACAGTAACAAAGTCAGTAACAAAGTAATATTTGGTTATTTTTTTCATTTTCATTCATCTGTAGTTTTGCCAGGTAGATCAGAGGGAAAGAGAAAGATATACAAGCAAAAAGCACATACTAAAAATGTAGGTGTTACACCTACTTGTTTTATTTCAATCTCTATTACATCAGTCATCATCAATCAGTCAGACAGTATAGAACCATTTGTAACACAGGTATGATTGGACCGGTCTCAGTAAGTAGCCATGGTGCTTTGCAGCCAGTCTGTGAAAATGCAGGTCTGATGCAAGAGAAAGGGAAACATGAATGGAAAAGGCATATTGAAATCGTCATGTCACATCAGGCTTTGAGAATATTTCTGTGTCACGAAAGAGAAATTAATGTTTGTTTTTACCTTGGCATAGACACCAGGGTGGTTCTTCTCTGCACACCCGAAGCCCCAGGACACAACACCCTGCAGCTCACCATCACACACAACAGGACCACCAGAGTCACCCTGAGAGCAGAGGAACAAAGACATGTAGGAAAGTAAGTATCAACTAAGTGCTGAGGTTACTAAACAAGTCAGAAATATTTTGTGCACTTTGCAACAGCAGAGATTCACACCTGGCAGGAGTCCTTGCCTCCCTCCAGGTATCCAGCACAGAACATGGCCTCAGTGATCATGCCGGGATAGGAGTTGTCACAGTCCTCAACAGACAGGATGGGGATATTCAGGCACTGCAGCTTGTTACTATCAGCAGCTGTGGAGATTCAGAACCAGACACACAAGGACGATTAATGGATGGACAGATGCAGAGTGAATAACAGAAGAACTGTGTGGAAACAGTGTTTGATACTCACAGGAGTTCATGGTCACACCCCATCCAGAGACTGTGCACATGGTGCCAGCGGGGGCACAACTACTGGGCAGAGCCACAGGCTGCACATACTGGTTGATGGTGGCGGGTTTACTCAACTTGATCAGCATGATGTCATTGTTAACCAGCCAAGACTCGTAGTTGGGATGAGGGATCACGCGGGAAGCGGGAATGATCTGTTCATTGCCATCCATGAACCAACGGTTGTGATCCCCAAGGACAATGTCCATTTTGCTAAAAGAGAGGAACAGAAGTTATGAGTGAGACGGAGAGAATGGAGAACAAGTGGGATGACTTGTGAGAAACTTGTCCTATTTGTTGTTTTATTATTTTGGAGATGATGTTTGTGGAGCACCCACGACTTGTAGCAGTGAGCAGCAGACACAACCCAGTTCTCGTTGACAAGGGAGCCACCACAGAAGTGGTATCCAGAGTTCAGTGACACCTGATGGGGCTGAGAATGAGGTGTGCACTCTCGCCCTCCAACAATTTTGTCATCCTCAGTAGCAACTGGAAAAAAAAAATCTGTTTAATGTATGTCTAAATTTTCAGCATTTTTAAAAAAAGACATTGTATTTCCTACACTAAATATAGTCTGAGATTGTTTCTACATGTTGATACTTTCTAAATGTGGTCCATACTCACACACGGCTCCTAGGAGCAGAGCAAAGACCAGAGACCTCATGACTGGTTGATGGTAGATGGAGATGCAAAGATTTTCCTGGACCCATGTTGGGTTTTTATTGACTGCTTTAACCTGTGCCAGCTGGTGAGACACACCCCTGGTGCTATCTACCAATCACAATCAACCAAAAGTGTCCTTATGGGAAAACTTTGTCATACTTATTCAAAATTTAGCAAAAACAGGACTTCATAGTTTTAATGGAACTCTGGTTAAAGGATTCTGTTCAGTTCCGTCACAAAATGCACCATATATACATATTCAAAATGTATATATGAATTGTATTTGTGTATAATTTTAGTTTGATCCGTTGTTTCTCCTGCCTGGTTTGAATTCAGTACAGTATGTTTTGTACAGGTTGTAATCAGCATTCTGACCTTGACTCAGCCCCAGATGTTGTGCCAGGTGGAGCTTCTCTCACAGACGGACTCATTGACTGGCCCTGGCCTTTGCAAATGTAAACTGCAGGGAATGCTCTACAGAGCAACTACTTCAAAATGCATATATGAATTATTTCTCTCAATTTAGTTAAGTGCAATTCAGTTCAGTTTTAATGGCATGATCATGTGGAATATCATGAGAACAATATTGTACTAAGAATAAAAATACTCAATACATCCACTAATAAAACAATTGAAGCAATTACACTCAGATATAATAAACACACAATTATTATTATTGGGAATAATAAAAAGTAAAATATTGTCAAATCAAAAAATGCCATTAAGTTAAACAACAGTAATAATCACTGAATACAGCACACTGAGGCAGTATTATTGTCGCATTCACTGGGATGCACTTACTTACTTACTACTACTCAGTTTGTAACATACAGTCCAATATTGTGCCTCTAAATATGTTACCCAATTACATTTCCACAGTATTCCTCTATAATATAATTATACTTGTCACATTTTAAACGAAAGAGCATTTCAGTCTAGTCTGCTGTGATTATTTCTTTATAGGTTTCCAGGACTGTTTTGTCATCTTATCTTGTTGTCCAGACTGTGTTTACTCAGTCAGTATTTTTATCAGCTCTGTCTCTGCTTCAGATGTCTGTCAGGGAAAGGATTTTCTGCTATTTCATATTCTCTCACAATTATTAACATAACAACAGTCTTTCTATGTTGTCTGTTGTACTTTTTTTATCTGCTTATTTATTTCATATCTCTGCTGGGATGTTGTTTGCTCTATAAATAAATTTGCCTGATTGACGTGACTCTCTCAAGGAAATGGGCTGTTTGCAGAGTTGCTTATATTTGACAAGAGTTTTGGTAATACTGACTAAAATCAAAAGAACCTAAGTCATAAGTTATCATTTTAAAATGAGAATGCATCATAAAGCAAAAACATTCTCAAAATCTGGTGAAATTAAATTGTGGAAACAGAAACAGTGTGAACATTTAGCATTTAGCCTCAATTGCCCCAGAAAATATAAAAAGAATTATAACGCATAATGTCACGAATGACATTGACATTTAGGTTCAGGTACTACTTGAGATTCTGCATTAAGATGTCTGGTCACATAAGGGTTTCAAACTAATTTTAACACCTGTTGTAATATTTTAAGCAGTAAAGTCTCACATGGTAGCTTTAAAAGGATCAACTTTAGATAATTTATATAACAAATTATCAATTCTCTGACTTACATTGCCTGTTTGTTTGTGCAAAACCTAACATTGCGTATCAATCGTCATCAGTTAACTCTAAACTGTTTAAATATGGCATATGTTTGTATTGTCATTTCACCAGTTTGGATGTCAAATAAAGTGTACATTAGATGTAAGATAATCAGTAACTGCCTTATTTGAATCTTGAAGAGCAGTAAGCAATAGTGGAGTATCAAAGCATGTTTTTTAGCATTGTAGGAAGACAGGCAAAAATAGAAAGAACAAATTGTGTTGAAGTCAAGATGTAAGACTTTATTGACTCAGATGGAAAATTACTGCACAATGTTCAAAACACTACAACAACATTGTTGTTAGAATGACAGAAGAAAGGCAGCTGAGTAAGATAGTGGTCACAGGATCAGACTTAATAGCTGGCCATGGTGGTCTCCAGCCAGTTGTTGAAGATGCAGACCTGGGAATGGAGACAGAACAAGGTGTGTTAGCATGAACAGCTAGCGGCATATTAATTAATTTTAACTGGGGATGCACAATGTGAAATTTCAAATAGCTATATAATTTATTATAAAGATATATTTTAGGTTTACCTTGGCGTAGACACCGGGGTGGTCCCTCTCAGCACATCCGTATCCCCAGGACACAACACCCTGCAGCTCACCGTTGCACACAACGGGGCCACCAGAGTCACCCTTAAAGAGAGCGAATAAGAAAGATGTGTTGTGTTAAAACTGAGATGCACTGGTCTAGGATAAGGACCTCTGCAGAGTCAACTTGTTACGTACCTGGCAAGAGTCCTTGCCTCCCTCCAGGTATGTTGGCATTTTTTGGAGAAGCAAACAAACTTTTCAGGCGTCACCGAGAACCACCGAGCAGTTTCATCAGCTCTCGTGTAACCGACCCCCAATTACAAAGTCTCACACCATCGACAAACTTGGACATATGCCTGATCAATGAGAAGCCGCCACTAACGACGTGCAAAAGCCGCTGCGCTTCCGCACCAACGCCTCCGTGTGTGGCCAACATTCGGTGCAGCAGCTCTGGATGGGAAAAAACCATGAGCTCCAGTGAGATAAAACTTCCTGCATTGTGTCTCACATTGTATGTTTTAATTTGCATGTGCTCCAGGTTTAATTCTTTTCTTTTATTCACAGCTGTGACAGGACAAGCTTGCCCAGTGCCGAACATCCCCATCTGTCCTTTTCAGTGTAACTTCCTACCCTGGCTCTTGTAGCATGCTACTGTTTTGCG